TGAATTAAACTGGATTTTGTCTCACCTACGGCACCTACACACACACACACACACACACACACACACACACACACACACACACACACACACACATATACACACACACATATATATATATATATATATATACATATATATATATATATATATATATATATATATATATATATATATATATATATATATATATATATATATATATATATATATATATGTGTGTGTGTGTGTGTGTGTGTGTGTGTGTGCATACATATATATATATATATTTATATATACAAATATGAATATATATAAACATATATGTGTATATATATATGTGTGTGTGTGTGTGTGTGTGTATGTATATAAATGTGTATATGTATATATAAATGTGTATATATCACATATCAATAAATTTGAATCTATGTAGTGTATGGCTGTGGATTATTATAATAACTGAATCTGAAGAGATGAGACACTACAGGTCATTATATACTTGTTGACAGCCACAGAATAGGCTGGGAACCCCTGATTTAAGCACAAACAAGCACCCAATTCTTACATCGGTAAAACTAGCTGACGAGCCATTTACTTATTGATCATTTCTCTACTTGACACGTTTCAAGACTATAATCTCTCAAATACTATCTCCCGAATAAGCTATTTTATCGACAGCCTAAGAGCAGAATGAATGTTTGTTGTTTTAGCCTCGTACAATTTATTTATTTATTTTTTTTTTTTTACCCATCAGTTGTACAGGATTCAGTTTGGAAGAACAGACACAAACACACATAAATCCATAGCGGGGGGAAACACTGATTGTTACCTGGGCTGCCTGCTTTCTTCCAACCGGGCGCCTTCCATGAGTTTTATCCCCAGATGAGGTCGCAATCAGAAGGGGCTTTTTTTGCTCCCTGTTGCAGACTCGAACTCGCGATCCTGGCAACGAGCCTGGCGCCCTAACCACTCGGCCGCGGTGGCGAGAGGCAACACGAAATGTTTAGGCGAGGTCTTTATATGACATATTTGTGTGTGCGTGCGTATGAGCTTGCGGTAAACTATTACTGTGGTCTCAGCATATTTATGTTTTATGTGTGTGTCTGTGTATTTGTGTATGGATGTTTGTGTTGTACGCGCGCGCGTGATATTTTATAATTACAGATATGTTGTATGGGATATTCTGTAAACATACGCGTTCTCTATTTATACACACGCACATGTAAGCTGGTGAAGTGGCCGCGAGTAGTATTTTTCCTGTTTTGATGCGCTTTAAAAGTGCCACATACACATAAAAGTCCCTTCACTATACTGAACTTGCAAACAAACACATACGCACAACATACACAAGCCAAAGCCAAAGCTCGCACATACGCAAGCAACCTGGAATGCTCGTACACATACGTAAATAGACACAAAAAAACAAACAAAAAAAAAACAAATCATAAAAAAACTAGAAAAAAAAACTTTTTTCATCCTGATTACCATCCAAGCCAGATTCCCAAACTGCGGGCCACGGGGTACTTTCTGGGGGACCAAGGAGCAATATGAAAATTATGACGTCGAACTGAACAGAACTTTATCTCAACTTCAGTACATATAATCCTCTCTCACATTTCAATAAATTGGAATCTTTATAAAAAGTGTTCTTGTCATATATCTACGGACACCATTACACCATAACAAGTACTAACTGAATCTGAAAAGATGACAGACACTGAACGAGGCCAAGAAAATTATTACATATTGGTCGAGAGCCACAGACCGAAAACGGTTGGGAATCACTGTTGTAGACCTCCTGTTTGTCGATGGAGTCTGACGTAAAACTGTCTTTTTTGTCACTGCTCTAAGGAATTCGAGTGTATCGCCCATGCCGGTCCTCATTTGTCAACAACCATCTGTCGGTAAGAAAAAAATAAATTCAATGTACTTTAAGGGCATTCTGGTTATTCGTTTCATTGTCTATATTTCTAAACCGGGAGTTATATCCGAATGAAAATGCAGAAGATTAACTAAGACTCAGTCCCCTTTCCCGCCCCCTTAAAAAAAAAAAAAAAAAAACACAGGAAAAAAACACTGATGAGCATACAACTAAAAAAAACAATAGGGAAAAAGCGTATACATTGATGCAACAGATAGCGAAAAAATAATGAAAAAGAACTAACACATATATGGAGCAGACAACGAAAAAAAGCAGACTAAATATACATCGATGCAACAGACAAAACGGAAAAAAAACAAATAACGAAAAAAGCATCAATAAATAAAAAAAAAGGAAAACTTACACATTGATGCAACAGATAACGAGACAGATGCAGGCCGTGAACACGTAGATGGCGCCGGCGAAGACCTCCAGCGTGGCATTATAGAGCGACGTGTACACCGACGAGGCGACGACCGGGATCATGGTCTCAGCGATGGCCAAGACGGCGAAGACGGCTCCTTGCTCGCTGTTCTTGACCAATTTGGAGGCGGAGGAGCGGGCGGCCAGGGAGGGCAGGCCGCGGGGTATCCCGACGACGGA